TCAACCATCTAAAAGGTCTTCAGGAAAGTACTAATCAAAAGATTTGACGATAACCCCTACGCTGCAAGGCAAATACAGTATTCCAAATTCAGATGTGGATTTAGTATCATGGACTTTCATGATGGATTTCCCGTCCGGAAAGCGTGATTCAGCAAGCAGCGATTTTCAGCTTCCTCTCTGCCTGGAGTTTCGAATAGCATTCGTTTTGTTCTGGATTCTTTGAGGAGCCAGGGAATCGAGAAAACATCATCGTCTCATTTCAAGAATGCAACTGCTGCTTTTCAGTCTCGCGATCAAGCAAACGGATTTAAAATTATAGTGCTCGTTCGATAGGGAGACACAACATCACCGAAGAGGTTGTCAATCAACACACTACCTAGAGAAAATCATGAGCTGAAGATAAATGGGCTCTCTTAAACCTTAGGCGGTTTGAGTTTGACGTTCTGATCCTCCAAAGATCACCTCACCGTGAGAACTCTAAATTCAACGTCCATCTTTGAATGACGTCATCAAAGTAGAACACTAAACAGTAAAGCAGAGCTGAAAACGAACCTCAGCAAGGTTCAGGTCATGTTTAGGCACAACGTGGTTGCAGGACCTGTCGAATTCGTACGCGGAACTATGTGACTGGAAAACCGCGTATGTGAAAGCAACAGAAGAACAGAACTGTACTGCCCTGAATCACAATTGGAGGGTCGAAAAAGTCAACATCCGGGAACTGACCTTGTGATGGAAGCGAAAAGTTTCTGATGAATATGTAGCCCCACTGCTAGTACAATGTATATGAAGGGTGGACATAAACAATGCATGTAAACTCTGGACCTGAACGATATTCATAAATTGCAGAATATGCCACACAGTACGAAAGACGTATGTTGGGAATGAGAAGAAAATACAGGAAGACCATTTAATAGACAACAGCATGAACAAGAGTCTATGACGTCACTGTCTGAGTTGAATCAGGCAGGAAAAGCGGCAAGAAGGATCGGTCATCGCCAGAGAGACCAATAGAGAATAGACGGACTGTGGCAAGACCTTCTGACAGATATCAGGATGAGCTGATGAAATTCGTTGAATCAAGAAGATAAAGATGACAGAAAAGATCTCTGGCGAAGTCTTGAAGAATCCTTCATCTAGCAGCGGATCGGCAAATGATGATATTAACTTTATGCTGTTAAGGATAACTCGATTCATCGGTTTTGAGTGCAAAGTTAAAGTAGATGGTAAGTTACTCTTGCGTTTAATCATATTGCTAATTTTTTGGTTACGCCATGGTAACTCTTTTGAAGACAGAAGAAAGTTCCATTCTGTAGATAAGAGCAAGTGCCGCGAACGCGTAAGCAGATTCAAGAAAGTGGAACAATCATTAAAGGTGCAGGTTAGCTACGAAATAAGCACGGACACTAACATATAAACAATGTTATAGCTAAGTTATGCCGCAGTTTAACCGCCGGCGAGAAATAATTGATGAACATATCATTACAGGGTTGTAACACGCAGAATGCATGTGATCATTAAATCAACATATGAGAAAACCAAACAAATCGAAACTGGTCCCGTGGGCGATCCACCGGATTTTCGTCAAATGACCGTTGCTGTTCAGAGTCATTTAACTGGCCGGAAACTTTATACGTACCACGTGGTAGTTCAATTATTGGTCAGAATTATTTTTATGGAACAAATTATCCCGAATTACTATAGACTTATAACTGTAGCAGATGTTTTGATCCTGGGCATAAAGGATGAAACAGAACCCATAGATGACAGGAACTTTGCATTGCGGAAGTATTGTGAGGGTATATTCAAACGGATCAGTACTGCTGCTGATGAAATAGAAATGAAACTTTTGACCTGTGGCACAGTGAGCCATCTATGGCTTTGTTCATTTTTTTTTCGTTGTTTTATTTTGTTGTATAACTGCCCGTCCCCTGAACAAGTTTGCTGCAGTGAAGGTTTTTTCTGTCAGCCGCTGGGAGATTCGTCGTCGTGGATGGATGAGAGAACTTTTTTAACCATCGATGATTTACAAGAACTTTACGCAATTGAACACATATCCCATTCAGCGCCGGACTGGCTCCTTGACAAATGTTCCTCTCCTCAAACATTATAACCAATCCGCTCATCACCGGCAAGCTTCTATTCAGCGCTGTTAGGAGAAAGCAGCGTCATGAATTGAATCGATGATTTGCCAGTTGCTGATGGCCATACCATCCATCAGCGAAGATGAACTGGCGAGATCCGTCACGGCCATCTTACGTAGTTCAGCTGGAGATGGTACAAGGTGTCATGTCGTACTTGGAACACGCCATCTATTATCCAAAGGTGATACCGTGAGAACTGTCATGACTGAGCGGAAACGTCCGTCACGCGGGGTTACGAAGGAAACTTTTATGACCAAACTGTGCCATCCATCATAGAGGTGCAGCCTACCAGGATTTAATGCAGCAATGGCTGGCTGTTGGGGCGCTCTTTCGCAGAGCCTGTACGGATTCCTATTATGGTGATTTATTTGTTGTTTAATTAGCACACTACATTTCTGCATTTTGTCTATGAAAAAGTCAGTCCTTCGTGATCATGCTCAGGTAGCATAGTAAAAACATTTTGAATATTACTGCAGTGAACTGAAGCGCGTAACTATAAGCGGTAGTCATCGCCTATACATCTTAGGCAATCTTAGCCAGGGTTATCGCGAAGGACATTAGTGCTTGCCATTAAATGCATAATGAAACCATAGCAAAAGTGAGGATCCTCGTTACAAGCGGCTAGTTATTGATATGACTATTTTTAGCACAGAATCGACAAGAACTATGTGCTAATATACAGAAGAAACGCCGAGTTCAGCTGTCGCTATTGTCTCCTTAGGATAGCCGAACATTCTATCCTGTGTGTAAATACCGGCCTTACTGTTTTTTCGTACACATTTCCGTTTAGTATGATGGGCATCTTCTTATTCGACAATACGCCACTCGTCCTCTCTCAAATTGAACCACACTGCCTGACCGATTTCTTAACTGACTGTCGATTTCACTACTGACTTAAGGAATGAAACCAAGGTACATGCATTCTTGCAGCAAACATACTCCCCATTATTTTTACTACTTAGCCAGTTTTTTGTTCTCCACTCCGAAATAGCCTACCTCGTATTCTGACTTGTCTTTGCTGAGTCAAAGGCCATCTTTCTTAAGTAATCTTCGCGTGCCTGAGATCTTGCTTCTCTTCGCAACGTTCAATCATCTGCAGAGAATGTGCGGTACATGACAGCTTATTGCAGATCTGTTCAACTTCGGTTTTCCCCACCCAAAACCAAAGCAGATTCAGCACTGAATCTAACCGCAAAAGGAATTCGGTTTCGACGAATTTATTTGACTATCACCGGTACTCTAAGGCACGATTTGAGTAAGCGCTACATACCTTACTAAGCTGTTTACCATTGCATTCGATGAACTCTTCTTCATGTCTCCTTGTTGCGTTCTCTGTATGGCTTGAGAATTGGACTTATAGCAAAATTGGCATCCGTCATTCATTAAGCCAAATTAGTTCACGGTGATATTGACTTTTTTGGTCAGTACATTTACACACCTTCATACTATGCCTCAGCAGTGCACTTAGTCGATAATATTCACAGGCCAGTATGTTCCCTGTCATTTTGCGCATTCACATCAAAATACTCTTGAGCATGATTAGGATATCGTGCTTACAGCTCTTAATGTAATTAAATCTGTTGCACTCAAACTACTTCAACTGATCGTGATATAACGTTTAAGATCAGAAAACCAAAACATACACTTGATAATGAAAATGCAACGTCAGCATCAGAGGAAATAGAAATATGCCATGAGTACAAATCCAATTATAGGAGTGCTGAACTATAACATTTTCCCCATAGTGATATAAAAATCTATGATTCCGTCTTCCAAATTCTTCGGTTATGCAAACGGATGCGAACCACAGAGCATTTTAATGGCAATGTCTATTCTTAGAGCAAAGATTTTTTTACACGTATGACGATTCATCATACGAGTGTGATTACATGAAACACTGTGTTGCCAATTACGCGTAACTTAGTGTTTTATACGCTTAGAAGTCATGCTCCACAGCTATTAAAAACGTCTGTACAAATAGGTTCAGCGTTCGCGTTTGCATCATGATAGCGTGATCAATAGCGGTGACGTCATCAAAATGTCAACAAATCACGAATCTGTTAATGTCCTTACGGCTGTAGCCAACCAGATTTTAATTGCAAACAAACGTACCAGAGTCAAGAAGATAAAAAGGCGAATCCTAAAAATATAAGCAATGACCCGGGCTACCTGGAGAATGCAACAGAACCAACAACTTCAAATATCAATGGGTTCGACGGTGGCACATCGTTGAAGAAATGTACACGAAACAGGAAGAATATTCCCGAATTAACAATATTCCCGAACGCACGCACATATTCTTAACCATGAAGAATTCTCGAGGAAACAAGAGTATAGCAGTTTACACAGGACTTTAATTGACAGGGTTTTTAATAGAAGACAATGGAAAAGAAAAACAAATCTCTTATGCAAAGTTGACAGTTATGACGCAGGTGAACGATGAAACAGTGCTGAAATGGAACAGATGGCCAAAATTTACACCTGCACTGGAACTTCTTCTTCCACGGCTCTTTCAACCACTTGGCCGTTATGCTGACTTTTCAGCTGGCAACCTTGCGATGGACGTTTGTTCAAGGTCAAGTTCTATACGAATATACACATTAAACAGACATGAGTTGAAACCATAAGTTTTAATTCTTAAAAAAAGTACGACAGAACAACTTCCCCCAACGTTCCCGTATTTGGTACCCTAGTGACAAAAAACTTGTACCTTTAAACTTTTATGAAGAGGTGGCAACTTTTCTTCACGCTTCGTAGCATAGCTTGAAAACTGTATATCTGCATTCATTAGACCAATAAGTTTTGTGTTGTCGATCTGGATGACGGTGGGCTCAACTGCCCTGCAAGCTCTAGTGCAGTTCATCGACTTCTGTCCGCTGTAACTGAAACGCTGCTGCAAAGCCAGACGATTGGCCGCTGCGAAATGCTGAGCCATCTGCTTCAAATCGCGTGCACTTTCGTTACTAAACAGAAGCAAAAATTAAGCATTAAATACAAAGTTTAATTACTTATAAGCATTTATTATACTATTCAAATTGGCACACATTATAACTAAACATGAATCAGAAATGTCTTTATTTAAGAGTTCGATACAGCATCTGACCTTACCTACCATGCGAGATAACGCCCAACAGTGTATTTAAAGATACATGCAGTAGAAACGAAATTCCGTACGACATAACTCCCCTAGTTTCAGATCCCCGTAATTCCAGCTACTTACATTCATGATCGTTTCTTCTCCAAGCCATGAAATGCAACCATTTCAATTCATGATCAGGAGAAAATTGATCAAGATAATCGAAGGTGAACATAGAGTAGATAAAAGACCAAATGACTCCATTAAACCGACTGTTTCCCTGGCTTTGCTACGCTCTGGAATTCGACTCATGGGGACTGTGGAGACAGTGAAGGACAAGGATTGCTGACTGGACATCTTGAAGTTGCTTACCTAGTGATTTGAAAGGAACAGCTAGCTTTCAGAATGAATAAAATGGTGGATATATGCACCGAGCTGTGCTGGCTACGTTAGTTATAAGGTGGATCACAGCGCTCTACAGCCGTAATAGGCATGCATCATTTAGCACGACGGTAAATCTTGCAAACTCTGGTATGCCCCAAACAGAACAATTCTTACTTACACACTGTCATAACTCGCAATTTATTACGCTGTCGTTGGGATAGTTATGCAATAGCTGATTCGCTTGGAACCGAGAGTTTGAGAGTGGATCTGAGAAATCGACAATGGTCTATTACCCAAGAGCTCAGTTATACCGCGTTCTGGAAAATAAACCGCAAGTGAGCAATTTGATAATAAACCCACCAACCGGCGAACCAAATACAAGGTCAGTGATTCCAGGAGAAAGGTACCGCAGACCTTGACGAAAGCATTGGAGCATTCAAAACATTCGAATCAGAGGCAGATGAAGGCATCAGAACATGAAGCGAAATATTCCATGGGCAGAAGATCATGTTTGGAGTGCAGTGAGTTGAACACATGCGAAATAAAGTGGGTAACCTAAACTGGAATATGCTTTCTGGATGCAACGCTGCTGACCACCAGATTTGCTTTGCACTTTAGAGGCACTGAGCACAAGTCACTTTGGAAGCGCAACTTTCTGGAGAAAGGCACCTATTCCAACGCGATTCAGAGCAACCATATTAGAAACGGTTTACAAACAAACGGGTATTGTGTTCTGAGGAAATAATGCCCGAGCTGCAAGGTATACGGTAATACCGTCTGCATCATTAACCGTGATTTATCTGATAGCTCATTAACATTTAGCACAATGTGCCAACCATAAGAAACTAATTATTAAAGATTAATGAATTTGAAAAATCAAGATTAAAGTTAATTTTGGCTACCGCGAGAGCACATCCGGTGTTTGAAGAGGAGTTTTCGGTGCTTCGTTCTGCAACCATGGATGGTTCAACACATCGTCAACCAAATATCGCTGCTTTACATCACGAACCTGAAAATACACATTTCTGCGTCACAAATAATAACGACCGAATTACGGTACCAAAAGATGTCGAATAAGATCTTTAGCGTTTTCGCTTATGCGGCCCCAGTCTTCTTCCGGGAACGAATAGTGGCCGGCTTGAATCCGCAGAAAAAGAGACTCCTGGCAATCGAAGCAAGGTAGTCCCCGGTCCCATCCACAATTCGTACGCCAACACTCACCATAAAATGGTGGATACCCGCAGAGCAATATATATCTAAATAATGAAACAATAAGTCAATCATTGACCGAATACTACTGCAGCGTTACAAGATAACTCCAAGTGACCACAGGTCACATCTTTTGTCGTACGACAGCGATTCGCCCATAAATGCATCAACAACCTCCGGTGCCATGAATTCAGCACTTCCCACCTGAATAAACAATGCATCATTAAGATAATTCCATAATACTATGACAAACAAACCATCTAAGAACTGCAAATGTGCTTTGATAGATGGGCACAAAAGTATCCACGCAACTTTAACGAAATACAATCAATAGGCAGAGATGCTACCCTATTCTGGAAAAACGTTTACTACCTCTGTGCAAATCTAGTGAAGTAAACGAATATTTATTTAGCATAAATTCCGGAAGCTGTCTGCCCTGCATCGTCTGTGCTTTTAGAACTGTACACGGTTTTATCAATTTAGTGATTGAGTCCATTATTTTTTTCATTCAAATTTTACAGTTACAGCATTCTATCCCTTTCTTACACAAAAATCTACTGTTTAATGTCGAGGAAAAACATTAACGTATAACATAATGACTATTAACTTCACTTTACCATGAACACACCATCGTGTGGTGCAGAAATTGTCTACCATCCACGTGATAAATGCGGAATTAGGTTTATTGGCGTAATAATCTAGATCAACAAACACAAATAGAGACGGTATATTTGCATAGTGGTGAACAACAATGATAACCACATGACCTTTTCTTATAATAATAGAGATCATTCTTCATCAATAGGCTCTTCCAAAAATCTACATATCAAATATTTTTTAAAAATTTCAGGTTTACCGG